GCCACTTAAGTACGACGAGAACCATTTTATAGCTGCCTGATCGACACCCAAGTATGACATCTTACGCAAGATGATCTCATGATCAATGGTGTCGAATGCCTTAGTAAGGTCAATAAAGACAACGCCATTTAGAAGGCCATTGTCGATGTTTACTGACCAAGCATTTGTTGCCTCAAGCAAAGCCGTGAGCGTACTATGTAGAGAACGGAACCCTGATTGGCAACCTAGTAGCAATTTATTATCATCTAGATAATGGAAAAGTTGATTATAAATAATTCTTTCAAAAACTTTCGAAATTATAGGGATTACAGATATTGGCCTGTAGTTGTTAGGGTCCGATTTAATGCCCTTTTTAAAAAGTGGAGTCACTTTGGCTGTTTTCCAATCGTTTGGATATATCCCAGTGAGAATAGACTTTGAGAATATTGAGGTAAGAGAGGGTGCGACGATATTAGCAGCCATTTTCAACAATTTACTCGGAATCATATCAAGACCGGTGGCTTTCTTTTCATCAATTTTCGACAAAACGTTAGAAACAATATCAACAGTCGGAATTTGCAGAGAAAACGAATGATCAGTGGGCTTTAAATAAGACTCAGGATTAACATCGACAACAGGAATATCTTGTGCTAATACTTGCGCAACGTTTGTAAAGTGATCGTTAATAGTTTCCGCAATGTCCAAAGGGTTACTTGCATGAGAACTGAATACGACCGTGCGCACTTCCGTGACAGTTAAAGACCTCTGCCATCTGTTCCAGTTTCGAAGAGAGGAAGTTCAAGCTGAAATGCTTAGTTTTTTTGTCGCCATGATCCTTTCAGTCTGTAACATTTTTGCACTTCTTACACGTATAACAGTCGACTAAGCAAAAATAAACAACAGCCGCGAACAGTTTGATGTTTAATCTTCTGTATTCAAACAGTGCACACTTGCTTTCGTAGCCGAAATACGAAAACATACTCTTTCAGAGTAATGCTGTTTCTTGCTTGATGGAAATCGGAACAAAATAATTTCTTTGGCGCGATGCCACCATCTTTACATTAAAATCGTTGTTTTGGGACTATTATCCGCGCCTTCTCCCAGTATGCCTCTTAAGTTATTTCGTTGGTAAACCCAAAGAAAGTGCGGACTGCTGGGCTCTTGGGGTAACGATTTATTAATCATGATCATTGATCGAGGAAATGTTTCTGTGAGGGACCAGTCATTATTTATCGTCGCCTGGAGGAGGGGGGAGGGGGGCGGGGGCTGCTCGGATGATTTTTTGGACCCCTCCCTTTAAATGATGTTTTACTGAAGTGGTCCTCCTCATAACTCCTGATAAATTTCGTGATTCTCCCCAAAGTTTTCGCCGCCCAAAAAAAGAAAATGATCATCAACGACAGGAAGAAAAAAGGAAAGCAAGAGGAAAGTCCAAAAAACAATGCAGGGAGAAGCGACTCGAGGCACATCAGCTCTAGTGAAACCTAGAACCAGTTGAGACTGCAGACATTTATCTCCCAGTAGAATGGACGCATTTATTTTACATGCTTTAAACTGGTATTGTTCAAGCAGATGTTAGTGGTCCCTTGAATTGAATTCTTCCAATTTTTTTTCTATGATTTACGAAGGATCCCCCGTTCTGTTCTCCTAGAAGTCAAGTGACCCCCCCCCCCCAAAAACAATGCAGGGAGAAGCGACTGCAGGCACATCAGTTCTTGTGAAACTTAGAACCACTTGAGACTGCAGACATTTATCTCACAGTAGAATGGACGCATTTATTTTACATGCTTTCAAACTGGTATTGTCCAAGCAGATTTTAGTGGTCCCTTTAATTGAATTCTTCTAATTTTTTTCTATGATTTTACGAAGGAACCCCCGTTCAATTCTCTTAAAACAAGTGACCCTACCCCCCTCCCAAAAAAAAACCCTCCGGACCCCCCTCCCTCCCGGGCGATAAATGATGACCGGTCTCTAACCTTTAACTTCTTCCCAGATCTGGTGCCATAATGATAACACTCGCACTGTTCGTGTCACTCCTCTTAGCGGTAACAAGGCTTTATTCTGGTAAGTATGTCCATTTGGCTTCTAACAATTTCAGTGTTAATTTGACAATTAACTCAGAGATTTTCTTGTGCTATTTGGTCATTCGAGCGCTATGGTCGATGTTAGTTTTTTAAAAACTTTTTTAGGAGCGGCCGTGAATGTCTCTAGTAGGGAGGGCGCATTTAGACACCCACGGCGGCTTACGGCACATTTCGTGTTATCATCCTCCGCCTTCGGCTACGGCTTACAATACTTACAAAGACCTTGACCGACCTCATTCAATAATTGGCTTGCATTGTTCATTATCGTTAAGTCACAAGAGTCAAAAGTGCCCAATTTGATCCTTTTTAGCTTTGGAATGCCCAGAAACGTGGAAAGAATTTGAAGGCTTTTGCTACAAGGTTATGGATAGGCTTGGTTATCGGCGAAGATTTGCTTGGTCAACAGCTTTAAGCGGATGTTTTGGGTTTGAAGGAGACCTGGTAAGTATATCGAATGAAAAGGAAATGAAGTTTGTCCATGACATGGCTTTCAAGGACGCAAACCGCACTTCTGTTTGGATTGGGTTGGCGTATCGGCATCAAAAGGGAGGATATGTATGGAACAATGGAGAATCGTTTAACATTTCTGTTTCTGTCCAGCGGCTGAACATGTCGAGAATTGTTTATGAAAATAAATGCGTCGAAATCTTGAAAAGTGGCTGGAACCTCACCGAATGTTGCAAGGAAAATAAACATCTCATCTGCAAGAGACCGAAAGGTGAGTTGTTCCTGTGTGTGAACTCGACATTGAAAATGATGGGGAAGTTCCAATCGTACCAAGTACGACCAAAGCACAGGTAAAATTTGATCCATTAAGGCGCTTAAACTCTTAAACGGACTTTAGATAGCCTTTACGCCTTTAAATTTTAGGCAGGCTTGATTCTACCCTGATATTGGGCTTTTTCCATTTGTTTTCTCGTTTTTTTTCACAGTCATTTTAACCTCAATTATAACCTTGCTGGGTTAAAGGAGATTATTTGGTGGTTACAATGCAGTTTTTGTCACAAGACCAGCCAAAGCCCATAATTATACAAATTTTACATGTTAGAATTACCACACCCAAACACATATTAAAGATCCTAATTTTTCTTGTATTCTATTTTTTAAAAAAATTAAATATAACAACTGATTGATTACCGGGAAATTTTAGAATATTTTATTCCTTGTTCTCTGATTCTCGTCCCAGTCACTCTAACGTTTACAGCAATGCCATGATTCTTATTGGTTTCAAACTATTTGATCTGTAAATGTTTCACTAATGAGGTCCATTGGCTTGTTCTACTGGTTGGTTTCTCAATGGAGTATCCTGCTACAAGGAAAATCATAAAGATACCTGGGAAGGTGCACGACAAGGGTGTACTGTTTCTGGAGGTGATTTAGTGAAGGTTGATGATGATAATAAAAAACAATTTTTGATTCACTTCATGGAGGTCACCGGTGTGAAGAAACCCAACGTAGATGTAAGTATCGAGTCATTAACTCTTTGAGCCTCATGATCACATGAACAGCATGAAATTTCTCCATGTAATATTAATGCATTATAAAACATAGTAGTCACAAGAATTAATTATATAAGCACATGATCACCAGAGGTGAATGCAACTGATTCTTAATATAATTACTCTTCCCACCACATCTGTGGGAAAAGCGTAAGGACAGGAAATGGACATCAACTGGAGATGTCAGGTTTTTTATGCAGTTGATAGAGCACGCTTAAGGCTAGGATAATAAATTATAAGAAGAGATTTCAAAGAGGAATGCGGAGAAATCACATCTTCTGTGTACTTCGTGTCACAGACCCAATTGAAACAATGATGTAGACAGTTTTAATTCCATTTTCATCTATGTCTGTATCTTGAAAAACGTAAATGTTCAAAAGACCACGTTTCTCAGTTACTTTGGCAAGCTGAGCGTACAAACTGAATTATTTTAAAATGCAAGTTTATCGTTCACACATACATACATTCCAAGCAATGCTGGTGAATTTGATAAAAAACCAGTTGCTCTGCCTCTCATTAGCTGAGACGTCTTGATCTAAAATGCTATCTTGATTGAATAACGATATATACCCTTCTTGACAAAAATTATTAACTTAATTTGATTGTAAGTGATCATAATTAAGTAACTGTATACTGTCATATTGGCAGTCTTGGCCGAGAAGTGAACATGAGGTTAACCCTGGTTTTCACTAGGGCATAAGCACAAGCACGAGCAAATGTGTAAGCAAGTGAAAAATGGGTCGACATAAGCACAAGCATAAGCACAAGGCCGTGGACCAATCGTAGGCCACTTTGACCCAGACCTCATGCGAACATATCAAAAGCAATATGGCGGACGCTTCGTCCGCCATCTTGTTTATCATTGGGTTGAGGAGAGCTGGTGTCGAGAATTGAGTCAAAAATGCCATTCTGCGCGTGCGTATGTCTTTATGTTTATGCTGATGCGCTTGTGAAAACCAGGTTTAACAAATTGAGAAAAATAGGCTTTTTTCAAAACATCCTTGTCAACATGGTAACGATCGAAATCTTACTTCGAAAACGTCAAATTTATTGTATTTAGTGTAAATGTATTCTTTCCATATCAAATATGAGCATTATACCATAACGAGTCTTGAATGACACTCCCATTATCAAACTGTTTTCACCACCTTAATTAATTGTGGCTTTTGTAGTAAATTGTTCCATTTAATATTTTTTTTCTGTATCCCTTGTAATTCCTTTATACAGCACGTATGGATTGGCCGAAAAGGTGATTCAAATTGTTGGCAAATGAAGACAGACAATGGAATGATAAAAAGGGCGGGTGACTGTAACGACAAAAAGAACTATATTTGTGAAATTCCAGCGTCAGCAACAAGTACGTTTTCTATCATCACATCGAGAAGGTTACACTTGCACATTATTGCAAAAGTAGCCCAAGCTCAATACAAGAGCCCTGAACAACATTATTCTATGCAGTTAATTGTTTATTCATACGGCAACAACCACATAAGACGTTGTCTGAAAATTGTTACTTTTTTTCTAAAATGCGAAATGTACATTATGTTTTTCCTATTAAGCTTTCGTTTAGGATTTTCTGGTTAAAGTCTATCAAATTTTAATGAATGACTTCCAATTTAATAAAAGCTCCGCTTTTAGGCTTGTCTACAAGTTATATTTTCACGCTTTTGCTCCAGAGTTTGAGGTTAGAGACCTTGTCAGAGATACTCGATGGTTTTAAAGACTTCTATTATTCTGCATTTATCTTTAGGTACTGTTTGTTATGAGTACCCTATCAGGAATTCCCCTGTTCCCATTAAGGTCAACTGTGCTTTTCCAGAAAACCTTTGTTTCAAATATGACAATACAACGGCAAACGGCGAACAAGTCACCATTCAAGGCTGTATATCCGCTGATCAATGCAGACAATTTGATGGTCATCATTTTTACTGTTGTGAAGGAGATCTGTGTAATAGTGGTAAGTAAGCTCAAGTATAATGGACACAAAATAGCTAAAAATTGTTACTTTAGGTCCGCCGTGCTATGTTCCCCAGAAACAGGGAAAACTTAGTTTATATTAACGAGGATCCATGAAGGATGAATAGCCATGCTTAGCAGCGAAGTAGATTTTAAGAACCTTTTTGTAAGTTTTCACAAGATAATGCACCTGTTTTAATCAGCGCATACTCGCACGTTTCCTATGCCATTTATAATGCAATACCTTTCCTTGCAGTTAAGAACACCGAAACCGAAAATCCGACCCGCGCCATTTCTAAAGTCATTTACATCTCACTTGGTATCACCTCCGCTTTTTTGCTACTGTCCGTGGCTATTGCTGTCTGGTGCTACAGAAAAAAGAAGCTAAAGACTATTGAAAGGTTTGTGTATCTTTTAATTTGCTAGCCACATTGTTCGGCGTAATTTTTTCTCTAGTTGAAGGTGATCAAAAACACTTATGTAAGCAAAATTTTACTTTCCTAGTATTTAATTTTAGCGCGACGTTATTGGTTAGATTACGTCACGTGGCCACTTAGAGCGTCGTGCACCTGCCATTGACAGTTACAAAGAGAACAATCAAGCATTTTGTTTTAGCCAAGGGGCTGAAAACCTAAAACAGACAGTAAGAAAGAAGAGATCCTGAAGAAGAATATCTTGAAAAATATATTAAAAATTGACTTGACTGATAAAAAGATGTTATTGCGTTCGACGTCGAGAGAACGCAACCTAGACTCAACGCCCAAGAGCTTGAGCACGAACATTCAGCACAAACAAACTCAACTTTTGGTAGTCTGGGTGAATTACCGAAAACGATAGGCTGAAGGCTAATGGCTAAAGTCCTTGGTTGACAGCTTTCTTCTGAGATGCCTCGTTCTGCCAGCTGTTTATTTTGACAGACAACCGCTGTTGAGCCTATCTCGGACCAAGAGTTATCTCTCATATCAACACGATATCAAACTATGCCCCGTCGGCGAGGTTGCATTTTTGGAAGGCAAAGGCCGGTTTCGAGAAGCGGCGTTTGACTTCTAATCGGGTATGGCAAATTTTCGTTGTGACGTTTTCTCACTTAAAAATGGGCTAGTGGAGCAAATGTGTTCAGCAGTACCCAAAAGGGCAAGGGCTGGTTGAGTCGGATGAAGCTTCATTCATCAATGAAATTACCCGTGCATTAAAATGAAAAATTTCTCTTAGATCCCGTTTACACGGGACCGGACAAATATTTCAACGAATGATTCAGGCTTTTCCCGTGCAACCCTTTTACACTGTGGAACCGTGCAAATTCTGTATCAAATTTCAGTATGATTTGCCATTCAAAAACTTGCCCTGTTTGTGGGTTTCGTGTAAACGAAATGCAGCGTTGTGCAAGTTTTTGTCCGTTCGTATGTCCGGATCTGTTTAGAGTAAACGTGGTCTTAAATGTCTTTAAACTGTCACCAACCTTGTTGGGAATTGCCCCCAAAATAGTTGCTATCCAACACACTCACAGAAGGTTTCTATTCCTTTCCTCACAGTACACACTCTCATCACAAAATAATTCTCTTTTACTATCTCCTATTGTTCTACTATTTTACTATCAATCACGAGGTTTTCAGCTTCACTTTCAATTATAAAGTTCAGGGCTATCAGGTTCTCACGTGTAATCTATCACTTACCACCTCTTTTAAATCACGTGACTAAAATCAAACCCAACTTAAATCATGTTTAGAAAGGAGATTGGTTATTATTTCCGACACTCTCCACGATATGTCTACCTTTAGGTGACATATGTTGCATTTATCTCTAGAAAACATATCATACTAAACGTTCTTGTAAGTCAAAACGATAACAGGGAACGAAATGATTCTCAAACTCTCTACAGAGTCGGTGTTCAATGTTCAGTTGGCTTGCTCTTTGTCAGCAATATCTTGCATTCGTACTCTCGCTGCCATTGCAGCGTCACGGGTAGGTCTGAACTCTGGAACCTCCGGGTTTAGCTGTTCCTGAGTTGTCAAAGGTGTCCGGTCGCACGATAGTTCTAAGGGCTAGAGGTGGTTTAGCAGCGGCTCTGACGTTTGAAACGGTGACAACCATAAGACTGTTTTATCACTCTCTTGGTCAGACGTCTGAGCCTCGGCACCCAATGACGCTCTCTGATCCGCGCCATTGTTAAACAGACTCCCCCATGCTACGCACGGAGATGGGCGTCTTCAACGGGTTTCACTGTGTAGGGGTGTTTGTCAGCCAGGTATACCGAGTAATGTACCTGTACACGACCTCAACATATGAGTACCACCTGGTCGATTTCTTTTAAACCCAGTCTTTGTCGATCGTCTGTCACATCATTGCTTTGAATCTCTTGAGGGCGCTTGGTCCAAAACAGGTGCTGGTTTTTAATCTCGTCGGTCGTCAATGGACCCATCATTCTTTCTTGTCTCTTCAGGCGTGAATTCCGTATGAATCTCGCGGTCCAGGTGACAATCGTCAACGTCTTGAACAGGTCAAATTTCCCTAGCAGAACATTGAGGCACCCAGTTGACGCAGTGGCGCCATCAAAAAGTTCTTTGGTAATTTTAGCCTCTGCTTGGCTCTCAGGAGTGCGGCTTGTCACGATGTCTGTAGGCCACTTTTCTTTGTCTGAAAGCCATTCTGGTCCTTGCCACCACACTTTGCTGTCATCTACTTGCCCTCCTCGACTTCCCAGATCTGCCGGATTTTCCTTGGTGGGTACGTGGCGCCAATTGATCCCTGAATGCTCTTGTACTTTCATCACTCTGTTTGCTACGAACTGTTTGTACTCGCCGCCACCGTTTATCCAATGGAGAACCACTGAGCTATCCAGCCATCCATAGCGACGTTAACAGGAAACCCTTCAAGCGCCTTCCCTACGTTTGTGATAAGGTTCGTTGCCATATGTGCCGACACCAGCTCTAATCGCGGAATGATCAGCCCCTGCTTCGCTAGTCGAGCCTTTGCAGTAACCAAACCCTGGCTCACCCCTGATGGCTGTCTCACAACTGCATGCACTGTTGCACACACTCCGTTCTTACTCGCATCTCCAAAGGCATGGAGCTCAATTCCTTCAATTTGCTCCTGGGCACATGTCAGAGCCCTTGTTACCATGACCTCGGCAGGTAACTCTTTCTTCCATCGTGTCCATTGGCTTGCTAGTGGTGGGGGTAGCGGTGCATTCCAGGCCACCTTCACGTTGCAAACATCTCTGTAGATGAACTTTCCCTTGATAGTTACCGGCGCCTCGAGACCAAGGGGATCGTAAATTCTTGCCAGATTACGCAACAATGTTCTTTTTGACGCGACTGCATCATATTAAGGCATGGTAACACTTATCTGATCTTCTAGATTGTCTCACGAGAGTCCAAGAAAACTGCCGGTCTTTGCTTTTGTTTGACCGAGCTGCTGTTTAGCAAACGTGCCCTTGTCTTCAACTCCTCTTTCACTCTCTTCTAACTCGGCAACATTCGAGAGCCACTTTTGCAGCATGAACTTAGCATCTTCGAAGATTCTTATGGCTCCCTCTTTCATCTTTTTTCGCCTCTGGTGCTGTTGGTTTCCCGTTTATCAAATCGTCGACATACACGCTTTGCGCAGCTCAGCAACAAAGTGTGGCATACAAGACTCCCAGGTTTCAAGGCACTCTATCACTCCCCCAAGAAGAAAGGGAGAAGGCATGAGACCGAACAGAGCCCGCGTGAATGTCAACACCTCCACTTCAGGAATGTTTGCTGGTCTTCCAATGAAATCTAAGTGCATCTCACTCTTCCTTCTTTATGAACACCTGACGAAAGGCCTGTTGTAGGTCCCCACTGATAAGGACTGGATGAAAGCGCATGCGTACTAAAAATACTCCACAGGTGATTCTGAAGCGGTGGTCCGGCATACAGAGAAACATTTAAGCTTGGCGCATGAGGGTTCGCTCGAGAGGAGGCGTCATAAACGATCCTTAGCGTCATAGTTTCAGCTCCTTTAATCTTTAATCTGTAATCAAGGTAATTGCCAATAGTGCTTATGCCAATCCGGCAATACGGATCACCGGCTTGTGAGGTATGTAGAATTCTTTTCCCTGTGGTGAAAGACTTGCGACTTCTACTATTCCCAAGGACTTCTGTTTTTTCAATTATCTCTCCACAACTCTCGGTCACATCCAAGCGCTGGCGTCTATTGCTTTATTGTTTGGTAAAGGCGGATGGTTACCTTTCCATGGTAGCGAGGTCTCACACCAGCGTTCTGGGTGTCGTGCCAACTGTTCTCTGAACTCTGCGTAGACTGTTCGCTGGTCATGTTCTGGGGTATCTTCTAAAACCTAAGACGTCTAGCCGACAAAGTGCTGCATAATCCACATGACTCGTTTGTGTCCGCAGCATATTCGTGTAGTCAATCTCAGTTCCCGGTGACATAATAGTCCACCCCAGCTTGGTCTTTTTTGCTACTGGTTCCCCTAGGGGCCCAACGTGGCGGAGCTCGGACGTCTTGATCCCTTTATACTCGCTGGCCCCTAATATCAGGTGTATTGGGATATATGGCTTAGGGTCACAGTCCGTCGTCTCAACTCCCTTTAGATGAGCGCCCGACTCGATAATCTTTTGATAGTGTAGGTTATTAATCATCAGCAACTCCAGTCTTTCGACCTTGGTAACGTCAACGTTTAATTCTTCACTGCCATCAGTTGAATGTACTTTGATTGTGGAAAGTCCTACTTCACGTGTGGTCGATCCCAGCATCATTTCTATTCGACGAACTTCTTTAGCCCGAGAGCGCTTGAGAAGTTTCTCCAAAAGCGCAGCTGAAGCATACGAACTCTTAGCTCCAGTATCCAGAAGTGCAGGTTACAGTACTCCCTCCACGCTTACTTTCACCACATGATAAACAACACGCCCTTGGTTCCCGGTGGCTGTCAACAATTGGTCTCCTTGATTGCAAATCGATCTATGGTGTTTCTGTCTGCACTTCTGACAACACATTCTACTCCTTCACTCAGCTGCATGATGTCTTGGCCCAGTGCAATTAAAGCGCATCCGCTTCTGCGCTAGCATTCTTTTCCTCTCGTCTGTTGTGGTTACGTGCGTGCAATCGCGCGAGATGTGACTCGCGTCATCACAGTAAACACAACGGCGTTTTTCCATGGATTCTGCGTGGTAAAAAAAACGAGATTTGTTCTCAGGGCGCTTAGACGGAGTAGTCATGCTTTCGACGTTATTTCCTTCAGTCGCTGGGTTTACGTCTCTCCATTTCTTCAGAGCTTGGGCCAAACGGGGTAAATCCCAGTCTTGCCAGTTTTCTTGTCCCCTGACCAAATCGGCTTTGATTCCTGTCAATTCATCTAGCACGCTTATTGTCATTCCGTTTACTCTCTCAATTTTTCCAAGCGTTTCCAGTGACTGGACGTTAAGCAGCAGTGTTTTGTAAAAGGAATTCACTTTGTTTGGGTCGGCGCTTGTCACGGTGGGGAGTTGAAGAATGTTATTGACATAGGCGTTGACAACTTCGCTCGTTTTTCCATATTCTTCTGTGATTATTTGTTTTGCTTTTTCATATCCCTCTGTATTAAGCGGAAATCCATCGATGTCTACCCTGGCTTTAGGCTCCAATAGCTCTTGCAAGTAGGCAAATTTTGTTACAGACGCTAATTCCGTTTTGTCGATTTCGGCCTCGAATTTATTCCAGAACGGCGTTGTTCAATGCGTTGCTCATTGGTTCTCTATACGTCCACGTCTGCACAAATAGTTGTGTACAAGCCAAACGTTTTACCGCTGGTATGTTCTTCAGGTTGAAGCTATGGTGCTTAAACGGATAACAGTCACCGCTATCATTACGATGACTCACGAGCGCTTTTTAATTAATAGCAACCTTAGCTTTTATTATGTCCTTTTTCTCCAGATCACCTGATTCACAACCCTCTGATAAGTGGGAAATGCTGCCTGAGCAAATAGAATTCGAGGGAGAGCTAGGGAGAGGAGAGTTTGGTGTTGTTTACAAAGCAACCTTTAGAAAGAGGGATGAGATGGAGGCGTTGGTCACTGAGACTTCCAAATGGCCTTCATCATCCACGAAGCCGAAGGCACCACAGGTGGTGGCTGTCAAAGTTTTACATGGTAAGAAATATTTTAATCTACAAAACAAGAGACAAAGCCGTAAGCGCTAATTGAATTTGTAACTTATTTCCAGTTGTTTATATGCAACAGAAACCAATTCTTTTTTATTTCTTGTTTGGACCTTTCTGAGACTCTAACAGAAAATCAGTCGAAAAAATCCAATTTTCTATATTTCGTTTGCTTTGGTTCCTGTTAGTATTGTTGTTATTGTCGATTATTCTTTTCACCACTGTTCTCCTTCGAAAACAACAGCTACGGCCTGAGGGTAAATAGCGTAGGGGTTCAAGATAGCATGCCTCACCCACCCTGACTGTTCCAGATAGCGCATCCCCTCCAATTAAGGCTGCGAACTAAGAAGATGGGGTGGTAAAGTGACTATTAAACTGAAATGCACTTAGAAGGTAGAATCTACCTGTCCTTTTGTACATAGGAGGATGCGTGCGATAAAAAGGGATGAATATTTGTCATGCAAATGAAAAATCTAGCACTGAAATAATATGCTGTCACAGGAAGAATGAAGAAGACATAATCATTTTATCAAATTGTCTTTAGATGATCCATCTGAGGCACAGATAGAAGAGTTCACGTTTGAGATTGAACAAATGAAACTGTTAGGCTCACATAAGAACGTTGTATCCATGGTTGGATGCTGCACGCTTGAAGAGAAAATGTTCCTGGTCATAGAATACGTTCCGTGTGGTGACCTTTTGACGTGGCTACGCCGCAGAAGAAAAAAGGTAAGACAATCATTGCAGCGTGTTCTCGTGTTCTGAAAGGGTAGACCACTATTTTTTATGACTGTATAGCTACGAGCCCTATCATGTATTGGGACTATTGCAGATTTACATCTGCGAAGATGCCAATTTCATACCCGATAAAGTCCTTGTTATTAAAATCATAAGGATTTTTTTAAAACTTCTTTTAAACTTGTTTTGTTAAACTTTGTTTAACTTGACTTTGAACTGCATTCTCGCTTGAAAACCTATCAAAGTGACAAAATCTCCCCAACCTACCCCCTACTTTTGAAACAAAAAAGCCAGCCACCCACCCTCTACTAGGTCCGGGCGTAAGCTCTCTGATAAGCTCTCCGGATTTTTTTGGCTTCCCTGGCTTGATGCCCGTGTTCAAGCGAAAACTTTGCAGGCACCTTTAAGCAAAGTCACACAGATGTATTGATCTTTACTTGTTCCGAAACTGATAACATTGCTTGCTGGAAGTCCAGATCAACGAACTTAAAGCCTCCGAGAGATCATATGCTGACAAAGAGGTTCTGAAAGATCAGGAAGAGACCAGAGATAAGGTAGGCTTGTTAACAAAATGTAGTGATTCAATATTTTATCCATTTTTGTTTGACCCCGATATTTTTTCTTTTCTTCAAAGTCCCCAAACCGTTTGTTGCTTGTTCCCTGTGTCTGATTGACGGCTCATTGAACGTAATCAAAGACTTAATTAAGGGCGCTTTCCAAAAGTCAGAACTGGCCGGCGAGACCATAGCAGGAAACAGTAATTTTGACAATGAGAAATGCTATTTCCAAGAGCTTTTGTTGAAACACCATTTCCTTTGTGCTTGCTATTTGGGATCTAACTGATAGTTTGGATTAAAAGTGAAATTCTCATCATGACTGGAATGGTCTGGCCGGTCAGTTCTGACCAATGGAAAGCGTCTTACAACTATATATTAAGACACTGAAATTGTTTCCATGCTTGTAAAAATCACCAAAAGTTGTTATGTTTAATGCCCTCTGATAAAAGTTTTTGACGTCTTTTTTATGGGGTGGCATAAGAGGGAAGGTGGAACACTCTTATAGGGTGGATTGATCGGTCTTTCCTTCATCCTAGGAAAAACAAGCAGGCAAACTTTTGAAGAAAACGGCAGAGGAAGAGCAGGCTCAGGTCACCATGGAAATGATCTCATTGCGCCAGAGTGGCGACCCAAAGGATATGGCTTCAGCCACTCTCAGTCTCCCTAATGTAAGAATTTTAATAAACACACTCAAGCCACAAGCGGCCTTGTCTCCATCCTTGGAGGCCTAGGCGAGGGGCAGTGAGGTGGTTTGGGAGAAAACGTTTGAGTCCCTAGGTACCGACTCTCACCAGACCGTTTTCAAACAATCCAGCGAGTGCTGACTCCCGATTGGGCACAAAAAATGCTTTATATTATTTTGCCCAATGGGCGAACAGGGGCTCCTATTTTCTTTTTGTGTGTTCGTACACGACGGCTATTATCTCGCCATACTTTCACCAAGGTTGGGCGCGCAAGGGGAACCTTGGCTTTTCCCACTTTGCCTCTACCAGAAACGTAGGAACTGCTGATGATTTGGGAAGACGTTTCAGATGCTATCAGCGGGACCGTTCCAATTTGCTGCTAGACCATTCTGTCACAAGCAGGGTGCAAAGAAAGTCAGTTTTTTAGCCTGCCATTCGGGCAAGCTGTAGCTAGCATGTACTAGCCCACAAGTCATTTCAACTAGCTCCCAAACCCTTTTTGATTAGCAAGACTGATTACCATCCTTCTGTAATTTGAATTTCCCCAAAAAACAGCACTTGCCCGTCGGGAAAAATCACTAGCCCGATAGCAAAATCCACTAGCCGCGGGCAATCGGACACGACTTTCTTTGCACGTTGCACAAGATATCGTAAATGATATTTACGATGGCGTGACCGATAAGGATCGATGCAATCTTGAATACGTGTTGTAAGCTCAAGTTTATTTTTTTAGGATAAGCATCTTTTAAATACCCTTTCATACGTTTCCAAATTTAGTTTTCGGGTAGACAGTTGCAATTTCTTTGAATTCATGGACGGGCTTTATATCGAACTGAAACTTTCCTGACGGCGTGTATTTCTTTGGTGCAAGAGCCAAACAAGTATCATAATGGTGAGACGATAGCTGTCGTGTCCGAACACACCAAAAGAACTCAGGGGATTGTGTTTATCGATTGGGCACAATAATACAAAGCATTCTTTGCACACAGTCAGCTTGACCGTTTGGAAATAGTT